CAGAGACGTAGAGGATGCCGTGGCGCGAGCACCAGGCCGTCCCAGCGATGAACAGCGGTAGAAGGCGGCGGAGGTCAGCGGCCTCGCGCAGAGCGAGTTGTCCCGGGGCGGCTCAGACGCCCGCTCGGCCCCTAGCCGCGCGAGAGCGGCTACATCAGGATAAGACAGAGCATGCGCGCGAACGCGAGGTGGTAATGCCGCGCGCGCGCTGGACATCGCCGATGATGATGGCGACAGGGTCGAGCATGAAGGGAGAGGGACCAGAGGCGATCCAGAGCTGATAGATCGACTACAGGAAGCAGAGCGATACTGCGACAAATGGCCAGCCGCGCCCTGCCGACTCCCCTGGGGTATCTCTTGACCTTCTCCCAGTGTCCGTGTGGGTCGACATCTCAGCTGTGGCCCGCATTAGTTCTTCCTTCTCTGGTCATCTCTCTTCTTCCCGTTCGCCCATTCCGGCGCGTTCGTCGTCCCCTTCGTTCCGCCCTCCTCGACAGTCGAAAAGCTAACGGACCGGCACTCCGTGCGGGGATGCCGGCCGCCTAGGCTCGGGGCTACATCGAGCCGCTGTTCGCGTGTAGTACTACTTCGCTCGCAAGCCCGGATGGAGCGGTCGCCGAGAGCCGTCTTTTCTTGGATCATGTGCGCCGGATCGCGAGGTTGCGAGGCGTGGATGCAGACCCACCCGGTCTGGAAGCAGGCCTCACATGAGTCTTCTCCATCACCGCAGCGGTGATCCTCGTAGACCACCTCCTCGGGCACGTTTCTCGTGGCTGACGAAGGTCGCCATCACGCCGAAGGTCGTCACGTTCCGCTCGGTGGTCTTGTAGGTGCCGGCGGGGATGGTGTTGAAGGCGTAGTAGGGATTGTCCGCCACCAGCTTCTGTCGACCTCGCCGGTGAGGTTGACGATGTAGGCGCTGCAGCCGTCCCGTCGCCACGGACACGCCGGCATTCGGCACGACCGACGGTGTAGCCATAGGCGTCGATCTGCCGTCGCAGAGCGCCTGGGACTGCTCGTCAGGTCAGCTCGGTCGCCACAGCGAAGTCGTCGGCAGTGAGCCGTAGCCTTCCATCAGCACCTCGGTCGTGCCGCGCTGGCCCGAGCCGGGTTGCCGATGTTGACACGCTTGCCCTTGGTTTGGGTGAAGGAACCGATGATCCGACCCGTCGGCGGCGATCAGATGAAGGGCTCGCCGTGCACGGAGAAGACCGCGCGCAGGCCCGGGCAGTTCGTTGACTTCTCGGAGCTGCCGTTGACCGCATGGAAATGCCAGTCGGGACTGGGGCGACGCCGAAGTCGAGCTCGCCCTGACAGATCTGGACGATGTTGTAGGTGAGCCCGCCGGTGACGGCGCCAGCGCAGCGGATGCCGTGCTGCGGCCCGACTTGCGGCCCTCCGCGGCCTCCTTGTGGACCATGCGGCAGACCGAGTTGCCGACCACGAAATAGACCGCCGGTCGGGCCGCGGTACCGATGGAGATAAACCTCTTCTCCTGCGCGCTCGCCTCGCGCGGCGGTTGCCGAGGTCAGGCCCATGAGGGCCGCCGCGGCCAGCGCGCACGTCGTGAGTCTCAGTAGCTTCATGATTGTCCTCCTCGCGATTTCGGTGTTGGAACACTTAACGTCTATGCGGACCGGATACATGCTAACGTCTCAGCGGATCTCGACGTGATCGGCGCGAGGGTCTCGCCGCGTTCCGCCACGCGCGCCATCGGCGACGGGAGATCATCTCCCCCGATCGGGTCATCCGCAAGAGGAACGGAAGCGCCGTGCCAGAGTCGCGGGGCGCGAATCGTGGGCGGCCCAGCTCGGCGAGGAGCCGGGCGAGATCAGCGCAATGAATCAGCACCGGCCTCGGCCTTTCGTCGAAGGCGGCCTCCACGCGACGGGCGAGCCTGCCTCGCTGTCGCAGCGAAAGCTGCGCGGGTAGCCGCAGCTTGGGCGACGGCGGCGAAATCCACATTGGGCGAGACGGTCGCCTGACCGCCGTCGAATCGTGCACGCCGCTTTGTCGAGCACGGCATGGATCAGATTGTCAGGCGCGTGGGCGCGATGTCGCCACGGTACCGAGCTCATCAGCGCCGCGCCGTCGCCGTCCAGCACCAGCACAGGGCGCTCTGTGTTGAGGGCAAGCCGAGGCCCATCGCCGATGCGCAGCCCATGGAGCCCCACCTGATGAGAGCTGCTGCGACGGCGGTCGAAGGGCTCATGTGAAGAGCTCGCGCCCGCTCTTGCCGGTGGTCGCCACTGACAGCGGCGGCGGCTGGCACAAGCGCCTGAACGCAGCGCAGCAGATCGATCCGCGCGGGCCGTCGCCACCCTGACGCAGGTCCGCGACCTCGCCGCGCGGGTGGGATCGGTTGATCCGGTTGGTCGAGTGCCGTCGTCACGAACGCTGCCCTTCTCCATGATCAGCGCAGAACGCAACTCGTCCGCCCGCCATGGGCCCGCATCGGCCCGGTCGAGCGCGGCCGCCACGGCGTCAACCTCCTTGGGGAAGCCGGCGTGACGATGGCGATCGTGTCGAGGAGCGATCCCGTCACCTCGCCATCAGCTCGTGTTGCGGCTCGTCCTTGAGCCCGCTGGCCGCGCCAGGTGACGATCAGGAGCGTCGGGATGCGGAAGGGGTGATTGAGGGAGGTCAGCGGGTTGACGTGTATGCCGGACCGGAGTTCTGGCACATCACGACCGTGCGCCGCCCTGCCAGCCAGGCGCCCGCGCCCACCGCCAGGCCTCGCCCTCGCTCGCCGCGCCGACGTAGTTGAGCGCGGGGCAGAGATCACCCGGTTGATCAGCGGAGTCAGGAACGAGCAGGGGACGACGGCGCGGCGTAGAACGAGAACCCCCGTTCCTGCGCCGGTTCCAGGAAGCGTCGGCCGCGATCATTCAGATACTCCGACGGGAGATTGCGGGGCATGATAAACCGCGGCAGACGCCGTTTTGGTTGATCTCGCTCGACAAGTGCCCTGATCGGGGGACACGGCATTGACAGGGGCCTGCGTTCGATAGACCGTCCGAAACAGGCTCCGGGCGTGGTGCGCCCGCGCGGGCCGGCCGCCGTCACGACGCAGGAGTCGACCGGTTGCGCCGCTACCTGCTCCTCTACCGGTTCCTTATCGTCAATATCGTGGGCGCAGCCCTGCTCGGGCTCGCGGGCGCACAGGGCTGGCTTGCCCGGCTCGTAGAGGCGGATCCCACCGGCCTCGTCTTCGTCATCTTCGGTGTCTTTGCGGTGGGCCTCGCGCTCTGCGGATACCGTTTGTTCAAGACGAGCGCGGCCCTCAACAAGCTGGAAGAGGGCGAAACGGCAGACCTTCCCGCCGCCTGGACCCGTACGCCCATCCGCCCGGAATTCAAGGCCGAGGCGCTCAAGGCACGCCTCTTCAGCCGCATCGCGGTGGTGCGGCAGATCGCCTCCGCGCTCGTCGTGCTCGGTCTGATCGGCACCGTGACCGGTTTCATCATCGCGCTCTCCGGGGTTTCGGCGGAGGATGCGGGCACGCTCGCTGCCGTACAGCCGATGATTTCGACCCTCATCAGCGGCATGTCGGTCGCGCTTTACACGACCCTGGAGGGCGCCGTGCTGGGCCTGTGGCTCACCGTCAACTACCGTATGCTGGCGACCGGCACCGCCACCCTCTACAGCGAGCTCCTCGCGGCCGATGGACGAGTTTGACGACGACAGCGGCACGATCTTCCGCGATGTCACTCTGTTGGCGCTCGCAGCCTTTGTCGCGATGGTAGCTCATGCTGTTGCCGTTCCTTAATCCGGGTGCCGAAGCCGAGAGCGAGGCCGAAGGGATCAGCGATCCCGGCAATGTGATCATCGAGCTTGTGTGGGCGGCCGATCGCGACGCCGATATCGATCTCTGGGTCAAGGCGCCGGACAGGTTGCCGGTCGGCTTCCCCAACAAGGGCAACGAGGTGGTCAATCTATTGCGCGACGATCTCGGCTTGTTTCAAGACCTTACCGACATCAATTACGAGATTGTCTACAGTCGGGGCATCGTGCCTGGCGAATGGATCGTCAATGTCCAGGCCTACCGCCTGGAGGATCCGATCCAGCCGGTTCCGGTACAGGTCCAGGTGGTGGTCAGCGTCAAGCGCGAGGGCGAGAACAGGCCGACGCCGATCCTGGAAAAGGAGGTCGAGCTGCGCTATCCGCGCCACGAGACGACCGTGTTTCGCTTCGCGTTGACCGGCAAGGGCGCGCTCGTGCACGGCAGCGTCAACGACGTCAGGCTCTCGCTGATACGGGAATACGCCCAGTCTCAGCTGCGCTCCCGTGAGGTGCGGCCGGGTGGATAGCTTCGCCTACCTCTATGTCGCCCTTGCGCTGGTAGGCGCCGCGCTCGCGAGTATTGCGGTCTGGTCCCGGCGGCGGGCGCTCTGGAAGGCCGCCGCCGTGGGTTTGCTCGCTGCCCTCGTCGTGGTCGGCTATTTCAGCTATTCCATGCTGCTCTCGCGGCCGAAGATGCTCTCCCCCGAATTGGACGACGTGGCGGGCGCACGAGTGCTCTCGGCCGCACTGCGCGAGGACGAAGCCATCTATCTCTGGCTTTCCGTCGAGGGAACGCCGCGATTCTACGCGTTGCCCTGGGATCAGGCAGCCGCCCAGCGGCTTCAGTCGGTCATGCGCGAGACGCGGCGTTCGGGCCACGACGTGGTAATCCGCTCGACCGAACCGGGCAACGATTCGGCCGAGTCCGAGGAGGAGACGCCGGAAGTCCACACGTTCTACGCGGTGCCGCCGCCGATCATGCTGCCGACGAAGCGGCTCCACGCGATCCGCGGGCCCGCAGGCGAGATGTGACCGTGAGCGACGCGAGCGCCAGTGAGGCGATCGAGGCTGCGCCGGCGACGCGGCGCGCCGCAGCGCCCTATGCTTCACACCCCGAGCAGAGCCGCGGGCGCCTCTATCCGGAGCCGGAAAGCCGCACTCGGACGGCCTTTCAGCGCGACCGCGACCGGATCATCCACTGCGCGGCGTTTCGGCGTCTGCAGCACAAGACCCAGGTCTTCGTCTATCACGAGGGGGATCACTACCGCACCCGGCTGACCCACAGCCTGGAGGTGGCGCAGATCGCGCGCTCCATCAGCCGCGTCCTCGGTGTGGACGAAGACCTCGCCGAGGCGCTTGCGTTGGCCCACGATCTCGGGCATCCGCCCTTCGGCCACGCCGGGGAGGCGGCGCTCGATCAAGCGATGGCGCCATACGGCGGCTTCGACCATAACGCCCAGACCGTACGCATCCTGACGTCCCTGGAGCACCGCTATAACGGCTTCGACGGCCTGAACCTGACCTGGGAGACCCTGGAAGGGGTGGCGAAGCACAATGGGCCCCGTCCAACGGATGCCGTGCCGGGCGACATCGAGGCATACTCGGCCCGGCACGACCTGGAACTCCACACCCATGCCGGCCCCGAGGCCCAGATCGCGGCGCTGGCAGACGATATCGCCTATAACAACCACGACGTGGATGACGGGCTGCGCGCCGGCCTCTTCACCGTCGACGACGTGCGGGACGTCCCTCTCGTGGGCGCGATTCTCGATGACGCGACCGCTGACCATCCGGGTGGCGACGAGGGCCGCCTCATTCACGAGACCGTCCGCCGCATGATCGGGGCCATGGTCGAGGACGTGATCGATACAAGCCGGCAGCGCCTGGAGGAGGCCAAGCCAAGGGACGCGGAGGCCGTGCGCGCGCATGGTGCGCCGCTGATCGCTTTCTCGGCGACCATGCAGGCCCAGGGAGAGGCCTTGAAGGCATTCCTGCACGAGCGCATGTATCGTCATCACAAGGTCAATCGGATGGCCAGCAAGGCACGCCGGACCGTGCGCGAGCTCTTCGAGCTTTTCATCGACGAGCCCCAATGCCTGCCCGAGGAGTGGTGGGGCCGGTGCGACGGCGTGCGGACAGTGACGACGGCGCGCGTCGTCGCCGATTACGTTGCCGGAATGACGGATCGCTTCGCCATCCAGGAACATCGCAATCTTTTCGATACGGTGCTGTGGAGATGAATGTTTTCAGCTATTTGTCAGATGTTGTTCAGGTTGAGATTGAGGCGATGAGCGGGGCTGGCCTGCTGCCTCGCGGGCTCGATCTCTCGGCTGTTTCGGTCGAGCCTCCGCGCGAGGCAGAGCACGGCGATGCGGCGTGCAATGCGGCACTGGTCCTCGCCAAGCAGGCGCGACGCAAGCCGCGCGAAATCGCCCAGAATTTGGCTGAGCGGCTGCAGGGGCGCGCAGACATTCGTGCCGTCGAAGTGGCCGGCCCCGGCTTCGTCAACCTCAGGCTCACGGACGAGTTCTGGTGGGCGCGGCTGGCGGAGCTGCTCCAGACCGGCCCAGGGTACGGCGCCACAGACCTCGGCCGCGGCCGGGCGGTCAATGTCGAGTACGTCTCGGCCAACCCGACGGGGCCGCTCCACGTCGGGCACGCCAGGGGCGCGGTGGTGGGCGATGCCCTCGCCAACCTGCTCTCGCATATGGGTTTCGCGGTGACGCGCGAATATTACGTGAACGACGCCGGCGCGCAGGTCGATACGCTGGCCCGCTCGGTCCACGCCCGCTACCGCGAGGCGTGCGGCGAGACGATCGGTGCCATTCCCGAGGGGCTCTATCCGGGAGACTATCTGGTGCCCGTCGGCGAGGCGCTTGCGGCCCGCGACGGCCGCCGCTGGCTCGAAGAGCCCGAATCGGCCTGGCTGCCCGAGATCCGCCGCTTTGCCACCGACGCCATGATGGACCTCGTGCGAGCCGATCTCGAAGCGCTGGGTGTGCGCCACGATCTGTTTCGCTCGGAGCGCGCGCTGGTCGGCGAGGGCCGCGTCGATGACGCGTATGCGGCGCTGGAGGGGTCCGATCTCATTTACCGCGGCGTACTGGAGCCGCCCAAGGGCAAGCGCGATGAGGACTGGGAGCCGCGCGAACAGAGTCTCTTCCGCGCCACCGCCTTCGGCGACGATACGGACCGGCCGCTCAGGAAGTCGGACGGCACCTGGACCTACTTCGCCACCGATATTGCCTATCACCGCGACAAGATCGAGCGCGGCTTCACCGACCTGATCGACGTCTGGGGCGCCGACCACGGCGGCTACGTCAAGCGAATGAAGGCTGCTGTATCAGCGCTTTCCGGCGATTCGGCGAGCCTCGACGTGAAGATCTGTCAGATGGTGAAGTTGCTCGACGGCGGCGAGCCGGTGGCGATGTCGAAGCGGGCCGGGCGCTTCGTCACCTGCGCGATGTCGTCGATGAGGTCGGGCGCGACGTCGTCCGATTTATCATGCTGACCCGCCGCAACGATGCGCCGCTCGAATTCGATCTCAACCGGGTTACCGAGCAGTCGCGGGACAATCCTGTCTTCTACGTTCAGTATGCCCATGCCAGGGCGTGCTCGGCGCTGCGCCGCGGGGCGGAGATCGTGCCCGAGCCCGAGCTTGCGCTTGCCGCTCTCGCCCGCGTCGACCTCGCGTGCCTGGACGATCCGGCCGAACTCGACCTGATCCGCCTGCTCTGCCAATGGCCACGGGTGCTGGAGGGCGCGGCGCTCACCCACGAGCCGCACCGGATCGCCTTTTATTTGCATGACCTTGCGGGCGCCTTTCATCTGCTCTGGACCAGGGGCAAGGACGACCCGCGGCTTCGCATCGTCGATGGCGAGCGACTTGCGGAGACACGCGCCCGGCTCGCATTGATAAGCGCCCTCAAGATCGTTATTGCGGAGGGGCTGGCATTGTTCGGAGTCGAGCCGGTGCAGGAGATGCGATGAGCGTCGGCGAAGACGGACCCGAGACTCCGTCGGCGCCCGAGTCGCCGAGCCCGGAGCCGCCGCAAGAACCGACGGAGCCTGCCGTCGGGGAAGCGGCGGAAAGCGGGCGCCCCCGGCTGCTTCCGGTGTGGATACTTCTCGGCGCCGCCGCGCTCTCGGGTGGCGCTTGGGCGGTGACCGAGCACATGGGGAGCGGGCCGCCTCCCGACGAGGCCTCGGTGCGGCTCATCACCGCGTCGGCCGAGCCCTGGAAGGTCCGTCCCGCCGATCCGGGCGGAATGGAAATCCCGAACCAGGGCACGTTGATCTACGAGACGCTGACGACGGCCGATCCCGAGGAAGCGCCAGAGCGGGTCCTGCCGCCGCCGGAAGAGCCCATGAGTCCACCGCAACCTGAAGCAGACCGCGCCGAAGAGCTGGCGGTCGCAGCATCGGGGGTAGAGAGAGACCCCGCCGCGCTGCAACCGGACGCAGGCGGCGTCGACGAGCCGGCAGCCCGCCCCGATCGATGAGGCGCCGACACCGCCTGAAGCACGAATCAGGGGTAATTGAGCCCCAAGCGACGGAACCCGAAGCGCCGATGGGTGAGGCGGTCGTGAGGCCGCATCCACCGAAACCCGGAACGCTGGCCGCTATTCAGATCGATGTAACGCCTCTGCCGGATCTCGATGAGCCGGCCATGGTCGAAGAGGCGCCGCCGCATGAGCCTGAGACACCAGCCACAGTCGAAGAATTGCCGGCGCTGGATCCGGAGACGCTGGCCCTGGTCGAGGAAATACTGCAGCGAGAGGCTGAGACATCTTCAGCCCCCTGCACAGGAGGAGTACGCTCGGCAGGAGTACGTAGGCTCGGTGCCGCTCCCCCTCTACAAGCCGGTCAGCCTCGCGCGGACCGCGCCGGCCGAGCGGCCGGTTGACGATGTCGCTTCGAAAGCGCGGGAAGCCGCGCCAGAGCCAGTGCAGTCGGATTCTTCCCGCACGTGGCGCTACGTCCAGCTCGGCGCCGCCAACTCCAGGAGCTCGCTGGAAGGCCACTGGGAGATGCTGCGCCGCCGTCACAATGACGTGCTCGTCGGCCTCAGCCCGCTGATCATGCCGGTGGATAGCGGCGACAGCGGTATTACCTACCGGCTGCGCGCCGGCCCTCTCAGCGACGCGGGTGCGGCGCAGCAGGTCTGCGCGCAACTCAAGGCGCGCGGGCTCGCGTGCTTCGTGCCTCGGGATTGAGTCCGGCGTGATGGCGCGTGCCGCGCCGCGGGCGATGGTACTCGGTTGTGCGGGCGAGGCGCTCGACGATGGCGAACGCCGCTTTCTGGCTGACGTCGATCCGGCGGGCTTCATATTGTTCAAGCGAAACTGCGAGAGCCCGGCACAAACTCAGGCGTTGATCGGGGCCCTCCGCGAGGCGGTGGGCCGACCCGACGCGCCGGTCCTGATCGATCAGGAGGGGGGGCGCGTGGTCCGGCTCGGCCCTCCCCACTGGCGCGCTCCGCCGGCGCCGGCGCTGCTCGGCGCGTTGGCAGAAGTCGACGGGGATGCTGGCGTTCGCGCTGCCTGGCTCAATGCGCGCCTGGTGGCGGTGGATCTGCTCGCGCTCGGATTTACCGTCAACTGCGTGCCGGCGCTGGATCTCCGCTTCGCCGGCGCGAACAAGGTCGTCGGCGACCGCTCGTTCGGTGCCGACCCGCGATTGGTGGCGCGGCTCGGCCGCGCGGTCGCGGACGGTTTGCGGGCCGGCGGAATCGTCCCTGCCGTAAAGCATCTACCCGGCCACGGACGAGCGACTGCCGATAGCCACGCGGTGCTACCCCGAGTGACGCGCCGCTCAAGGCGTTGCGGGCCCGTGACTTTGTGCCGTTTCGCGCGCTCCGCGACGCGCCCGTGGGCTTGACGGCGCATGTCTGCTACGCCGCGCTCGATCCCGAGAGGCCGGGCACGCTCTCACCTAAGGTGATAGGAGAGGCGGTGCGGGGCGCCATCGGGTTCGACGGCTTGTTGGTCACTGACGATCTGTCCATGGGAGCGTTGACCGGATCGGTCGGCCAGCGCGCATCCGCCGCGCTCGCCGCCGGCTGCGACTTGGCCCTTCACTGCAACGGCATACGCGACGAAATGGAGGAGGTCGCGGCGGCGGCGCCGAAGCTCGCCGGCCGTGCGCGGGAGCGGTTCGACCGCATGCTCGCGACGCGGAGCGCACCCGACACGTTCGACGAAGCCGAGGGCCTTCGCGAGTTGGATGCCTTGCTCGCCCAGGTGACGCCGCAGTGATCGAGGCATGGCTCCTCGCCGCATCGGTTTGGGTGATACCGGTGCTGTTTGCAATCACGCTGCACGAGGCCGCGCATGGCTGGGCTGCGCTCAAGCTGGGCGACGACACGGCGGCGAGGCTCGGGCGCATTACCCTCAATCCGCTCAAGCATGTTCATCCGGTGGGCACGGTCCTGTTGCCCGGGGCCCTGATTGCGCTTGGCGCGCCGTTCGTATTCGGCTTTGCGAAACCCGTGCCGGTCAACCCGGCGAGGCTTCGCAACCCGCGGGGCGGCATGGTCCTGGTGGCGCTGGCCGGGCCGGGGATGAACATCCTTCTGGCCTGCCTCTCGGCGCTGCTGCTCCACGCGGCGGCGGTCTTTCCGCCGGTGTTCGCGGAGTGGTGGCGGGCGACGTTCACCCTTGGCATCGCCATCAATCTGGTGCTGGCCATCTTCAACATGCTGCCGGTGCCGCCGCTGGACGGCGGCCGCGTGGTGCACGGGCTGCTCCCGCCGCGCTCAGCCGAACGTTTCGCGCGACTCGAGCGCTTTGGTATCATCGTCGGTGCTGGTCGGATTCTTTGTCGTGCCGCTGATTGCGGCGGAGTTCGGCACCGCGTTCAACCCGTTGGCCGAAATTGTGCTGCCGCCGATGGCAGCGGGCTTCGAACTGATCGTCGACCTGTTCGGCGTGGAGGCACTGGTGTCATGGCCCATCTGACGCCGCTAGAAGACGACGCCGGCCGGCGGGGTACAGCCACGCCCCGTCCCGGTGCAGCCGAGGATGAGTCTCAGCTGATCGTCAATCTCGACGGCTTCGAGGGTCCGCTCGATCTGCTGCTTACGCTCGCCCGCACGCAGAAGGTCGACCTCGCGCGCATCTCCATACTGGCGCTGGCCGAGCAGTATCTGGCCTATGTCACACAGGCCCGGCGGCTCCGCATCGAACTCGCGGCCGGCTATCTGGTCATGGCGGCGTGGCTCGCCTACCTCAAGTCGCGGCTGCTCTTGCCCGACGAGGAGCCCGACGCCGAGGAGCCGAGCAGCACCGAGATGGCGGCGGCGCTCGCCCGCAGGCTGCGGCGACTGGCAGCGATGCGCGATGCCGCAGCGACCCTGATGGACCGCCCGCAACTTGGCCAGGATGTGTTCGCCGCCGGCAGAGCCGAGGGCCTGCCGGTGCACGAGGAGGCGCTTCACGAAAGTACGCTCCACGAGCTGCTGCGAGCCTATGCCGCCCACCGCATCCGACGCGAACCCCGACGCCTGCTGATCGAGCTCAGCGCCTATCACGCTATGGAAGACGCGTACCGGCGCATGTCGCAGTTGCTGGGAAGCACGCCGGATTGGGAGACCCTGGCGCGCTTCTTGCCCCGCGGCACTGCTGCCGAAAGCGACGCGATGGCCCGCTCCGGCGTGGCGAGCACACTGGCTGCATCTCTGGAGCTCGCGCGCGAGGGCCGCCTGCAGATTCGCCAATTGGAGCCGTTCGGCCCGATCTATCTTCGCCGGAGGCGAGAAGAACCATGACCACCGATCCGCTAGAGACTTCGCCCTCTGTGGAACCCACCGAGGACGACGAGCGCGCGGCCCGCGCCTCCCGCATTGTGGAGGCCGTGATCTTCGCAGCGGGCCGGCCCGTCGATGCCGCCACTTTGGCGGCGCAGTTGCCGGAAGGCACCGATGTCGAAGCGGGGCTCGCCAGGCTCGCGGCGCATTACCAGCACCGCGGAGTCCACTTGGTGAAGGTCGCGGGCGGCTGGACATTCCGCACCGCTCCCGATCTGGCGGAGCACCTGACCGTGCATCGCGTCGTCCGCCGGCGCCTCTCGCGTGCAGCGCTGGAGACGCTCGCCATCATCGCCTACCACCAGCCGGTGACGCGGGCGGAGGTTGAGGAGATTCGCGGCGTCCACCTGGGGCGGGGCACGCTCGACCTGTTGCTGGAGGCGGGCTGGATCGCGCCGAAGGGGCGCCGGCGCACGCCGGGCCGGCCCGTGACGTGGGTCACCACGCCGGCGTTCATGGAGCATTTCGGCCTGGAGAGTCTCGACGACCTCCCCGGCGTCGACGAACTGGAGGCTGCCGGTCTCCTGGAAAGCGCCGGTCCGCAGGCCGGGGAGACAGGCGAGGCGCTCACCCGGCTGCCGCTCGAGGATGATGGCGGGGGCGCGCCGGACTTTGCCGGAGAGCCCGAGGAGAGTGAGTCCGCGGAAGCAGCGTCAACGACGGTGGTGACGCTCTCCGGCCGCGGCAGCACCGCTTAGCCTGACACCGCCGCGGGGGTGCGCCCCGCCCCAGCCAGCTCTACTCAGCCGCTTCGGCAGGGACTTCCGCCGGGGTGACGCGCGCGGCGCAGTACTTGAATTCCGGAATCTTGCCGATGGGATCGAGGGCCGGATTGGTCAGCATGTTGCTGGCAGCTTCGGCAAAGCAGAACGGGATGAAGACGACGCCTGCGGGAACGCCGGCGTCGGCGCGGGCACGAAGCCCGATGGCGCCGCGCCGGGTCTCGACCGTGATCGGCGCTCCCGGGTCGATGTGCATGCGCTCGAGCTCGGCCGGCGCGAGATGGGCGACGGCTTCGGGCTCGAGATGGTCGAGCACGGAGGCACGGCGGGTCATTGCGCCGGTGTGCCAATGCTCGAGCATCCGGCCCGTCGTCAGCACCATCGGGAACTCGTCATCGGGGGATTCGTCCGGCGGCACGATTCCCGCGGGCACGAGCTTGCCCCGCTTGCTCGGGGTCGGATAGCCGTCTTCGAAGATGACGTCGTGGCCGGGCTCGTCCTCGCCGCTACAGGGGTAGGTGACGGCGCTTTCCCGGCGAAGCCTCTCCCAACTGATGTTGTCGAACGAGGGCATGCAGCCTGCCATCTCGGCGAAGACATCGGCCGGGCCGCCATAGTTCCAGTCGAGCCCGATGCGGCGTGCGATCTCCTGGATGATCCACCAGTCCTGCCTGGCGCCGTCAGGCATTGTGAGGGCAGTGCGGCCCATCTGGACCTGGCGGTTGGTGTTGGTGACCGTGCCGTCCTTCTCGGGCCAAGCGGAGGCCGGCAGCACCACGTCGGCGTAGCACGCGGTCTCGGTGAGGAAGAGCTCCTGCACGACGAGATGGTCGAGCGAAGCGAGCGCTTCGCGCACATGCCGCAGGTTCGGGTCCGACATCGCCGGGTTTTCGCCCATGATGTACATGCCCTTGATGGCACCCTCATGGGCGGCGTTCATCACCTCGACCACGGTGAGGCCCGCGTTCGGGTCGAGCTCGGCCCCCCAGAAATCCGAAAACTTCTCGCGCCGGGTGGGATCGGTCACCGGCTGGTAGTCCGGATACATCATGGGGATGAGCCCGGCGTCGGAGCGCCCTGCACGTTGTTCTGCCCGCGCAGCGGATGCAGGCCGGTGCCCGGACGGCCCACCTGGCCGGCGATCAGCGCCAGCGAGATGAGGCAGCGCGCGTTGTCGGTGCCGTGAATGTGCTGGGAAATGCCCATGCCCCAGAAGATGATCGCCGCTTCCGCACGCCCATAGAGACGCGCGACCTCACGCAGGACATCGGGCTCGATGCCGCAGACCGGCCCCATCTCCTCCGGTGCGTAATCCTTGAGATGGCTTCGAAGCTGCTCGAAGCCCTCCGTGTGGGCCGAGACATACTGCCGGTCGTAAAGCTCTTCCTCGACGATGACGTTCATCAGCGCGTTGAGGAGCGCCACGTCCGTGCCGGGCTTGAACTGAAGGAAGTGGCTCGCGTGGCGGGCGAGCGTCGAGCCGCGTGGGTCGATGACGATCAGCTTCGCCCCACGTTTCGCCGCGTTCTTGAAGAAGGTCGCGGCCACCGGATGGTTCGTGGTGGGCTGCGCGCCGATGACGATGATAACGTCTGAATGCTCGACCTGGTTGAAGCTTGCCGTGACGGCTCCGGAGCCGATGCATTCGAGCAGCGCTGCCACCGACGAGGCGTGGCAGAGCCGCGTACAGTGATCGACATTGTTGGTGCCGAAGCCTGTGCGCACGAGCTTCTGGAAGAGGTAGGCCTCCTCGTTCGAGCCCTTGGCCGAGCCGAAACCGGCGAGGGTTCCGGCGCCGTGCTGGTCGCGGATCCGCCCGAGACCCTCGGCGGCCCGGTTGAGCGCTTCGTCCCAACTCGCTTCCCTGAAGTGGGTGAGGGGATTGGCCGGGTCGATGTCGATATCGGCCGACTTGGGTGCATCGTCCCTGCGGATCAGCGGCGTCGTCAACCGATGGGGGTGATTGACATAGTCGAAGCCGAAGCGGCCCTTGACGCAGAGCCTGCCGTGATTGGCCGGGCCGTCCTTGCCGTCGACCCAGAGGATCTTGTTGTCCTTGACGTTGAAGGTGAGCTGGCAGCCGACGCCGCAATAGGGGCAGACGCTCTCCACCTTCTTAGCCGGCGTCTCCTTGCCGACCTCCTTGGCCGGCATGAGGGCGCCGGTCGGGCAGGCCTGCACGCATTCGCCGCAGGCGACGCAGGTGCTCTCGCCCATGGGATCGTCGAAGTCGAAGACGATCTTGTTGCGCGCCCCGCGGCCTGCCATGCCGATCACGTCGTTGACCTGCACCTCGCGGCAGGCGCGCACGCAGCGCGTGCAATGGATGCAGGCATCGAGGTTGACCGCCATCGCCGTGTGACTGAGGTCGGGAGCCGGGGACTGCCGAGCCGGGAAGCGGCTCGTTGTGCGCTCCATGCTCGCCGCCCAATCCCACAGCTCGCAAGACGGGTCGTGGCTGGACTCGGGCGGAGGCTGATCGGCGATCAGCAGCTCCATCACCATGTCACGGGCTCGCACGGCGCGCTCCACCGAGGCTCTGACCTCCATTCCCTCGGCCGGCTTGCGGATGCAGGATGCCGCGAGCACCCGTTCGCCCTCGATTTCCACCATGCAGGCTCGGCAGTTGCCATCCGCCCGGTAGCCCGGCTCGGGCGTGTAGCAGAGGTGGGGAATATCGATCCCGTTCCGCTTGGCGACCTGCCAGATGGTCTCGTCCGGCTCTGCGGTCACGGCGCGGCCGTCGAGGGTGAAGCGGATGACGTCGCTCATGCGAGCTCCTCCGGGAAATAGCGCAGGATGGACAGCAGCGGGTTCGGCGCCGCCTGCCCGAGACCGCAGATCGAGGCGTCGGCCATGGCAGTGCTCAGCTCGCGCAATAGCGGCGCATCCCAACGATCCTTGCTCATCAGGACCGCCGCCTTCTCGCAGCCGACGCGGCAGGGCGTGCATTGCCCGCAGCTCTCGTCTTCGAAGAAACGCATCAGGTTGAGCGCAGCACCCTTAAGATCGTCCTGGTCGGAGAGCACCACGACCGCGGCCGAGCCGATGAAGCAGCCGTGAGACTCGAGGGTGCCGAAATCCAGCGGAAGGTCGGCCATCGAAGCGGGCAGGATTCCGCCGGAGGCGCCGCCCGGCAGGTAGGCGCGGAAGGTGTGCCCGTCGGCCATGCCACCGCAAAATTCCGCCAGCAGCTCGTTCATGGTGATGCCAGCCGGCGCGAGCTTGACGCCCGGCTCCTTCACCCGGCCCGACACCGAAAAGCTATGAAAGCCCGAGCGCCCGTTGCGGCCCTCGCCAGAGAACCAGTCGGGGCCTCGCTCCAAGATGTCTCGCACCCAGTGGAGGGTCTCGACGTTGTTGATGAGGGTTGGCCGGCTCCAAAGGCCGACCTGGGAGGGGAAGGGGGGCTTGTGCCTGGGCTCGCCCCGCTTGCCCTCGATGCTCTCGAGCATCGCCGACTCTTCGCCGCAGATGTAGGCGCCTGCGCCGCGGCGCAGGGATGAGCGCCGTCTGCGCGGTCAGGCCTGCGGCGTCGAGCTTCGCGATCTCCTCCAGCAGCACCTCGCGGATGCCCGGATACTCGTCGCGAAGGTAGATGTAACATTCGGCAGCCTCGACGGCCCAACCGGCGATCAACGTGCCTTCGAGGAAGCGATGCGGGTCCTGCTCCATATAGACCCGATCCTTGATCGTGCCGGGCTCGCCTTCGTCCGCGTTGACGGCCATCAGCCGGGGGCCGGTCTCGGCGCGGACGAAGCGCCACTTGCGCCCGGTCGGGAAGCCCGCGCCGCCTTTGCCCTTGAGGCCGCTGTCTTCCAGAGCGGCGATCACGTCGTCGACTTGCCGCGCGCCCGACAGGCACTCCTTGAGAGTTTCGTAGCCACCGCCCGCGACATAGGCGTCAAAATCCACGTAGGGCGGAATGACGGGAGAGTGATCCGGTCCCTTGATGCAGGCGAGGATCGATTCCACGGTCGCCTGGGTCACGTGGCGATGGCCGACCTCGACCACCGGCGCCTCCTCGCAGCGGCCCATGCAGGGCGCCCGCACCACCCGAACGTTGTCGCCTAGGGCGTCGGGGAGCGCTCCCAAAAGCGCGGGCGCACCGAAACATTCGCACGTGAGGCTGTCGCAGACCCGGACCGTCAGCGGCGGCGGCGGGCTCTCGCTTTCCATCACCACGTCGAAGTGGGCATAGAAGGTCGCGACCTCATAGACTTCCGCCATGGCGAGGCGCATCTCTGCCGCGAGCGCCGCGAGATGGCGGGCCGCGAGGCAGCCGAAGTGGTCCTGAATCTTGTGCAGATGCTCGATCAGCAGGTCGGGGCGCCTGGGCTCGTCGCCCGAGCAGGTCGCGGATTTGCTCCCGCGCCGCGGGATCGACCTGCCGGCCCTTTTCGGTATAGCGCGCCTTGCGCCGCCCGCTACCGGGGTGTCTGGGTTTCTGATTTCCGCCCGAAAAAGCCACCTGCGGTCTCCGACGATGCCAATTCGCCCAAATCGGCGAACAAAGCGATCAATGGGCTCCGATGCGTAACACCTGGCCGGTCGACGGTCGAGACTTAGTTTGAATGTCGGATTCGACGAGCGGCTACGCCAGTCGGCGGCGGGTTCACTCGGGCCACATCTCCGATGGCGGCGCAGGCGGCTCCACCCGAGTCAGGCTGACCACGGCGGCGTTTATCAGGCGTTTGCCCGCGTTCTCGAAATTGGCCGTAACGCGGTCGCCGATGACGGACTGCACCTGCCCGAGGCCCCATTCCGGCGCCAGCGGGTTCCTGACCCAATCGCCTGGCGCGAGGCCCTCGACCATCGCCTTTCTCTCTCTAATCGGACGCCCCGGCGTCCCGCCTGCGGTCCTGCATGATAGCCGCACAACGCTCGTCGACTATTTCAGGGTGCGGCGGCGCGTGACTCCATCCGGTAGAATTATTCTAGTGCATTGAAATAGTGAGATTACTGACACCATGCGGACGTCTTCAGCATGGTCCAGCCGATGCGTCGGAATGACTTGCCGAGGCGTCAGTGCATTTTTATACTCCGCGCCCATTTCGAGGTGGGATCCGGCAAGGCAGTGGCGCAGAAGCGAGTAGAGCTCCCGGCCAAGTACAGGCCGACGAGCAGGGAAGAATTCATGTCGCCGCGGATGCAGGAGTATTTCCGGCGCAGGCTGGACATGTGGCGGCAGGACATCCTCGACGAGACGGACGCGACCCTGGAGAAGCTCAGGCTCGATACCGGGCACGAGGCGGACCTGGGGGATCGCGCTGCCGTCGAATCGGAGCGCTCGGTCCAGCTTCGCACGCGGGACCGCGCCCGCAAGCTCATCTCGAAGATCGAAGCGGCGCTGCACCGGATAGAGGACGGGTCCTACGGCTACTGCGAGGAAACTGCCGAGCCGATCAGCATCCGACGTCTCGAGGCCCGCCCCATCGCGACCCTCAGCGTCGAGGCGCAGGAGCGCCACGAGCGACACGAGCGCACCCATCGCGACGGCTGACGGCCGACACGCACGAGGGCGGGCACGCCCCCTATCTTGCGCCGTCCGTCTCCGAACAAAGGCTGCGCGCCACGCTCTCACCGATGGCGGCGGGCGGACCTAGGGCAAGCCCGGTCAGCGTTTCCTCGAACCGCGTGGCGAGATTTGACGAATGGCTTCCCCGTGCGGCCCTGACTGAACGCGCCTGCGTAGTGTGCGCCGATCATTGCGTGCACATGTTGTGCGTTCTCGGGTTCTCGGTCGTGATCGACTGAGCAGCCGAGACATCGCGTTTGAAGAAGGCGCCTGTGGTGCCCGATGTTCGCTGAGCGGTTTCCGGTGCTTCGGTCAGGCCAGCCAGACCGGCGCACGTGCGCAGGGTCCACGGATTGAAATTGAAGATGTGTGCATAGTGAAACATGCGGCCGCGTGACTTTTCGCGGCAATACGCTTCAATGTTCGGAACTTCAATATAAAGCAGGCCTCTTGGCGTGAGCCAGCAAGCGATCTGACCGAGATACTTTATTGGATCGTTCAAATGCTCCAACACGTGATTCAGGCGAATCAGATCGAATTGACCTGGAGCAAAAAGATCAGGCGACAGATGGGCCGTTTGGACATCTAACCCGAGCGTCTCACGACAATACGCGGCGTAACGAGAATTGGGTTCTATTCCTTTCACGGTCTTGCCGAGCCGCGTCATCAGATAAGCGAACTCACCCGAGCCTGCCCCCACATCCAGCACGTGCGTCGCGGGATCCAAAACGTCCCGAAACATGCGCACATACGTTGTCACGCGCCGAAAATTGCGCACGACCTGGCGGCGACGCGGTTTCGCGGCACCCTTGTAGGCAATGCGATAGTCGTCGGCGTAGAACCGCGCCAACTCTTCATCGTTGGGTACGGGGTCGTTGCGTACTAGCCCCGTCTCCATACAAATGAGGGTTCGCAGCGGTTTGCCATGACGATCGGTCTCGGAGACCACTTCGTGCGTACCCTCACGGCCGAGCGCCCACGTCATCGCTTATTCTCATATATGTTCAACAATTCAGGGCCGAACATTTCGCGGGGGTCTGGACGCCTTTTCGCAAATTACCCAGTGCATTGCCAGATATTCAGATCGCTGTTGCTTCGCACAAATAGCGAAATGCGTTCCGTCTCTCAAGTGTCCGACCCGTGCCAACCCGCGGCGAGCGGGTGGCCGTGGGCAGCGGCACGTTCAAACCATTGTCGTGCAAGATCGAGGCTGCGAGGCAGGCCGTGGCCGCGCTCGTAGAGGAGACCCATGCTGAATTCGGCGAGGTCGAAGCCACGCTCGGCAGCAGCGCGGTGATGAGCGAGACCGCGCGGCGTGTTGGTCGCCGTGCCGGCACCGGCGAGGAGCGTCAGACCCGACCCAGTAGCGGGCGAAGAGTTCCGGCCGGCTCGCATCGTCACCGGGCGGAGAGGCGTTTGCGGAACGCGTGCGGTCGACGGCGTTGTTCAGCCACCCGTCGGAGCCGGGGCCGAGAATGCCGGCCGCCGCACCTTGGCGCGCGTGCAGCACCGCCGTCATGGCGGCTGCCGTGGCGGATCGGAACAGAATGGCGGCGTAAGCCTCGTCGCGCTCGACTGCATCGCCTGCGCTGTAGAGTTCGCCGAGCGCGAGCAACCCTTGTGGATCACCCGCCGTGGCCGCAGCGCGCAAATGTCGCGCGGCTGCCGTGTTGTCGCCGGCAACGTCTCGCGCAATCAGGCCGAGGGCGAGATGAGCTGCCACATCGCCGCGCTCGGCCATTTCCCCGAGATGGATGCGCGCGCCCTCGTGACGCTGGGCCGCGGCGCGCTCCAGCCACTTGATGGCCTCCGCCCGGTCGAGGGTAGTGCGGCCCCTTCGAGGTGCATGAGCCCCAGCAGGTATTGGGACGATGCGTGACCCTGAACCGCCATGTTGAGCAGAATCGACCGGCCCTCCGCTCCGGCGCCGGGCGTCGCCGTGAGCCGATGGGCCATGGCGGCGCTGCGTTCGATGTCCGGTGCAGCGGTCGGAGACGTATCCGGCTCCGCTAAGGCCGTAACCGGCATGAGCAGGCACGCCGCGAACGAGAACAGCCGGGCGAGCCGGAGCGTCGGGCGGGTCATCGGCGGAGCATATCACTGGGCGGGGCGCGGCCCGAACGTGCCGCTGGGCCGCCCAATCTACGAACAGGCGCGGGGCGGGTGAGCGCCTTCGTCTGTCGTGGCTTCGAGGCGCCGTCGGTCGCGGATGACGACCCCGGCAAAGGGTCGCAAGATATCGATGGCGCCGTCGCGCGCGAGCGAGGCGAGGGCTCGGCTCACCGTCTCCGAAGCGAGGCCGAGATAATCGCCGATTTCAAGCTGGCTCATCGGTAACGGAACGGATTGCCTGCCGTCCTCTCCCGGCTCCCCGGTGCGATCAGCGCATTCCAGCAGAAAGCACGCGAGCCGCTCCCGCGCCGTCTTGCGCCCGAGCCACAACAATCGCTCTTGCGCTGCGGCAATCTCCCGATCGAGGGCCAGGAGCAGGTCTTCATGCAACGCCGGCGATTGCCGAGAGAGCTCTCGCATGCGGGCACGGGGAACCGAGCAGACGCTTGCCCGGCCGACCGCTTCGGCTCCGTAAGCGTAATGCTCGCCGGTAGTGAGACCCACCAGATCGCCCGGGAAGAAGAACGCGACGATCTGCCGGCGCCCGTCCGCCGTTGCCTTGTAGCCGGCAACGGTGCCGCTGAGCACCCGATGGAAGCGGTTGGCAGAGTCGCCTTCAAGGGCGAGCGATTCGTGCGGCGCGAGATGTCTGATCGCGCCGATTCTGTCGAGCCGGTCTAATCCGGCGGACGGCTCTCCGGCGCTGGCCGGATACACCGCCCGATTGTTGGCGGCGACATTCATCGTAGTTTCCTTCCCGCGAACCGATGCGGGCCTCCCGGACGGGTAATTCGTGTTTTTCGCCCTGCCGCGCAATTGGGGCGGTTGCGTAAGGGAATTCCCTTAGGGAGCGGCAGGCATGGCTTCTGGCGGCGACGCCGCGCCTATCGGCGCAGCGGCACGGTCAGATATCGCCCATGTCACCTGCGCGATCACCGCCATGCGCACGAGATGCGCGAGATTGCGCGCCTGCAGTTTCTCCATGATCCGCGCGCGGTGCACCTCGATAGTGCGCGGACTGATGCCCAGGTCGCGGGCGACGGCCTTGTTCGAGCTTCCGCGAGCCAGCCGTTCGAAGACCTCGCGCTCCCGCGCAGTCAGCCGGTCGAGTCGCCGGTGGATGTCGAGACGGCGCGTCTCGCGGTTGAGCGCTTCCTCACGCGAGGCGAGCGCCTGCGCGATACCGTCCAAAATTGCGCGATCCGGGAACGGCTTTTCGACGAAATCGACGGCGCCGGCTTTGATCGCCCTGACCGCCATCGCGATGTCGCCGTGACCCGTGATGATGATGACCGGCAGCGCCGGTGCGGCGTCCGCCAGCCTCCGCTGCAACTCCAGCCCATCCATCTCCGGCATCCGCACATCGACGAGAGCGCAGGCAGGCAGAGCGTCCGGCAAGGCCTCCAGGAAAGCTGGGCCCGAGGCGTAAGTGTCCACGTCGTAACCCTCCGCCTCCAGCAGCGCGCCGAGCGAATCGCGCACGGCGTCGTCATCGTCGATGACCGCGACCACGACGCCCCCGTCAGCCATTGGATTACCTCCGACCGGCAGAGAGAAGCAAAAGGCGGCACCGCCCTCCGGCGGGCTCTCGGCCCAGAGCCGGCCGCCGTGGGCGACGATGATCGTGCGGCTGATGGCAAGCCCGATGCCCATACCGTCTGCCTTGGTGGTCTGGAACGGGCGGAACGGGTCGTCTGCAATGCCCGGCGCGAGGCCGGGGCCGTTGTCTCGAATTTCGACCTGCACCTGCCGGGGTGCGACCGCCTGGGTCGAGATGCGGATCTTTCGCTCGCCTGACTCCTCGAACGCCTCAATGGCGTTCCGCAGGATGTTGAGCACGACCTGTTGCACCTCAATGCGATCGATCAGGACAGGCGGGAGCGCGTCGTCCAAGGAGAAGATCAACTCGATGTGCCGGTCGCTCGCGCCGATCAGCGCCAGCGCCGCGGCTTCTTCGACAACTGCGTTGATGGGCTCGAGGCGGCGGCCACTGTCGTCCTTCTTGATGAAGCGCCGCAGCCGCTTGATGATCTCTGCCGCCCGCTCCGCCTGCTTGCCGGCTTTGTCGACGAGGTCTGCGACGGGCGCGGGGTCCGCTTCAGGGCGGTCGAGCCGCCGCCGCGCCGCCCGCGTGTAGTTCATGACGGCCGTCAGCGGCTGGTTCAGCTCGTGCGCGATCCCCGACGCCATCTCGCCCATGGCGGAGAGTCGTGAGGCGTGCATGAGCTCCTGCTGGAGGATGCCGGCGCGCCGCTGGATGGTCTCCCGCTCGGTGATGTCGTGGATGAAGCCGGTGAAGAGCCGCCCCTGATCGAGCTCGATCTCTCCGATCGCGAGACGCGCGGGGAAGGTCGTCCCGTCCTTGCGCCTGCCGACCACGACGCGGCCGATGCCGATGACGCGCTTCTCGCCCGTCTCGCGATAGCGGGCGAGGTGGGAATCGTGGGCTTCCCGATGGGGCGAGGGCATGAGGATCTTCACATTCTGGCCGACGAGCTCGGCGCCGGAATAGCCGAAGAGGCGTTCCGCCGCCGGGTTGACCGTATCGATGGTGCCGGTCTCGTCGATGATGACGATGGCGTCCGGTGCCGTCCGGGTTATCGAGCGCAGGCGCTTCTCGCGCTCCCGCGCCGCGGCGATGGTGGCGGCGCTGTCTCCCGAATCCGCCATTCGCCCGCCTAGCTCTGCCCGCTCAGTCCAGGTGCTTGCGCATGACCTCTGCCATCTTCTCCGGTCCCTGACCGAAGACGAAGTGGGTCAGATAGTCACCGTCGGGGTCCATGAAATAGATGTAGGACGTGTGGTCGACCAGATAGGCGCCGTCTTCGTCCGGCTCGTTTAGCCGGTAGATAGACGCGGTAGGCCTTGGCTGCGTCGTGAATTTGCTCCTCGCTGCCGGTGAGGCCGACCAGGCGGGGGTGAAATGACGGCACATACTCGGCAAGCGCCGCCACAGTATCGCGTGCCGGGTCGACCGTGACGAAGAGCGGCTGAACCTCGTCGCTGAGGTCGCCGAGTTCGTCCACAGCCTGGCCCATGATGAGCAGCTCTGTTGGGCATATGTCAGGGCAGTAGGCGTAGCCGAAATAGACCAGCAGATAGCGGTCGTCGAAGCTTTCCTCGGTGACCGTCTGACCGCTGTGGTCGACGAGTTGGAAGGGGCCGCCGATGGCCGCGGCCTGTACGGACGAAGGCCCGATCCATAGGAAGACGGCGAACGCTGCGGTGGCCGCGCCTGCGATCGCGGTGCGGATTATACGCTGCATGGACGCGCTCCAATCGCTCGACTCTCCTGGTCCCTAATGTAGTGCGGCCCTCCGCCGCGGTCGATGGCCTCGCCGCTAACCGGGTACACTCCGTGCCCGCGGAATTCAGGAGGTCGGCATGAGCGGAGAGGCGATCTATCGGGGCTATGATCGGGCGGCGCTCGACGCGCAGTACAACAACCGCGCGCGAATCCCCGAGTATGTCGACTATTTCGACCGCTGGCTGGCCTGGAGCGCGGAGACCCGCGCAGCGCTGCCGGGGGCGCGGGACGTCCCTACGGCGATCTGCCCGTCGAGACCCTCGACATCTTCCCGGCGGAGCAGCCCGGGCGCCCCGATTCTGATCATGATCCACGGCGGCTACTGGTATTCGCTCGACAAGCATCACGACAGTTTCGTGGCGGAAGGCTGCCGGCCTCACGGGGTGGCGACCGTCGTCATCAACTACGGCCTCGCCCCCGACTACCGGATGGACGAGATCGTGCGCCAGAACCGTGCCGCTGCCGCCTGGGTCTGGCGCAATGCCGCCTCCTTCGGCGGCGATCCCGCCCGCATCCACGCGCTCGGCCAGTCGGCAGGCGGGCATCTCGCCGCCATGCTGCTGGCGACCGACTGGCCGGGCTTCGGTGCCGATTTGCCTGCCGACCTCGTCAAGAGCGCGTTTCGATCTCGGGTATCTACGACCTGGAGCCCATTCGGCTCTGCTACCTCAACGACAAGGTCGGCATGGACGAGGCGGAAGCGCGGCGGAACAGCCCCGTTGCACAGCGCTACCCGGTGCCCGCGCCGCTCATGCTGGTCTCAGGCGATATCGAGTCCGATGAGTATGAGCGCCAGGCCGACGCCATGGCGGCGGTGTGGGAGGCGCATGGTTATCCGCTCAGCCGCCTGGAGCTCCCCGGCTTCAACCACTTCACCATGGCCGATCAGCTGCGCGAGCCTCAGAGCGACCTCACGCGGGCGGTAATAGCGCAAATGGGGGTCGCTCTCTGAGCTTCAGACGCGCTCGTCCATCGTGAGCACGGCGGCGCCCTGGAGCCGGCCCGCGCGCAGGCGGTCGAGGGCGGTGTTGGCCTCGGCAAGCGGCATGGGCTCGACGTGCATCTCGATCGCCGTCCGCGCGGCGAGTTCCAAGAACTCTTCGCCGTCGCGTCGCGTGAGATTCGCGACCGAGACGATGCTTCGCTCCCGCCAGAGAAGCTCGTAGGGGAAGGCGGGAATGTCGCTCATGTGGATGCCGGCGCAGACCACGGTGCCGCCGGGCGCGATTGCGCGGAGCGCTGCCGGCACCAAGGCGCCCACGGGCGCGAAGAGCAGCGCCGCGTCGAGTTCTTCCGGCGGCGCCTCGTCGGAGGGGCCGGCCCATTCGGCGCCGAGGCCGAGCGCAAGTCGATGGCCGCCCGGTCGCCCGGCCGGACGAAGGCGAACACCCGCCGACCCTGAGCCCGCGCGACCTGGGCGATGATGTGGGCCGCCGCGCCGAAGCCGTAGAGGCCGAGGCGCTCGGCATCGCCCGCCATCGTGAGTGCGCGGTAGCCGATGAGCCCGGCGCAGAGCAGGGGTGCAGCCTCGGCGTCGCTCCGGTCGCCGCCCACGGTCAGGCAGTAGCGCTCGTCGGCGATGCAGTAGTCGCCATAGCCACCGTCACGCGTGTAGCCGGTGAAGAGCGCGTCGGGGCACAGGTTCTCCCGCCCGCTCCGGCAATAGCGGCAGGTGCCGCAGGTCCAGCCGAGCCAGGGGATGCCGACGCGCTCGCCCTCGACAAGCGCTCGACGCCCGCGCCCAGGGCCGCAACTTCGGCTCCCACCCTCGTGCCCCGGCACGACCGGAAGCCGGGGCTCGGTGAGGTCGCCGTCCACCACGTGGAGATCGGTGCGGCAGACGACCGCAGACCGAGACCCGGACCAGAACTTCGCCGGCGCCGGGCTCGGGAACAGGCCTCTCCTCCAAGGCAAGCGGTCGACCGTCGCCGCGATAAACCATGGCCCGCATGGCGGCAGGGTCGGTCACTGGCGACGGCTCATGCCTCGGTGATTCTGAGGAAACCCAGATCGTCCACGCGGACGCGCTGGCCGGGGCAGACCAGCGTCGTCGATGACGGCTCCTCGACGATGACCGGACCGTCCGCCTCGAATCCCGGCGGCAGCAGGTCGCGATCGTAGACACGAGTCTCGTGCCGGCCGTCCTCGCCGAAATCGACCCCGCGTATACCGCGCGCCGCAGCTTCGGCGGAGCGGCCCTCCGCAGTCCACGGGGTGAGCTCGGGCCGGGCGACGTCGGCGGTGGCGGTGAGACGGAAGGTGACCAACTCGACCGGCGTGTCCGCGAGGCGGAAGGTGTAGGCGCGCTCATGCGCAGCGTGGAATGCGTCGAGCAGCGTATCGCGGGTCGTCCGGTCGAGGTCGATCGGCACCGTCACCGCGTGCTCCTGGCCGGCATAGCGCATGTCGATGTGGCAGGCGCTGGTGAACGTATCGTGCCCGCCTTCCGAGTGGAAATAGCGTTCCGCCTCCTCGCGTAGCTCGGCGAAGAGAGCGCGCACGTCCGCGATCTCGAGAGCTTCGGCGCGCTGGAGAGCCGTCAGCATGAAGTCCCGGCGGGGCGCGGTCGCCAGCATGCCCCAGGCCGAGAAGAGGCCGGGGAAGCGCGGCACGGCGATCTCCTTCACGCCGAGCTCGCGGCCGAGGCTCGCGCCGTGCATGGCGCCGCCGCCGCCGCCTACCATCAACGCGAAGTCGCGCGGGTCGTGGCCGCGCTGGATCGACACCAGCTTGAGCGCGTTGATCATGTTGGCATCGACCAGGCGAATCACGGCGACCGCCGCCTCGTCGACGCTGCAGCCCAGTCCGTCTGCGACCTTGCCCATGGCGGTGCGCGCGCGGTCGATGTCGAGGGGAGCCGACCGCCCGCGAAGTTCGCAGGATTCAGCACGCCGGTGATGAGCTTGGCGTCGGTCACGGTGGGCTCGCTGCCGCCACGGCCGTAGCACGCGGGGCCGGGATCGGCGCCGGCGCTGCGGGGGCCCACGCAGAGCGTGCCGCCCTCGTCGAACCAGGCGATCGAGCCGCCGCCCGCGCCGATCTCAACGATGTCGATAACCGGGACCCGCACCGGGTAGCCGTAGCGGATGCGTGTCGCTTCGAGCCGGTAGTCGGTGGTGATCTTGGGTTCGCCGTCTCGATGGTGGAGCACTTGGCTGTCGTGCCGCCGATGTCGAGATAGATCACGTTGGGCTCGTTGCAGAGGCGCCCGATCAGGGCGGCGCCGTTGACGCCCGCCGCCGGGCCCGATTCCAGCAGCGTGATCGGGTGCTCCCTGGCCCAGCCGAAGCTCGTGGTGCCGCCGTTCGACTGCATCGCCATCATCGGGCAGTCGAGGGAGAGGGCGTCGAGGCCGGCCTCCAGCGTGTCGAAGTAGCGTTGCACGATGGGCTGCACATAGGCGTTGAGCACGGCCGTGTTCGCACGCTCGTACTCGCGCCACTCGCGCGTGATCTCGTGGGAGGCGGTGACCGCGACGCCATTGAGTCGCTGCACGCAGATAGGCCGCGGTTTTCTCCTCGTGTTCGGGCGCGGCGTAGGAGTGGAGGAACTGGATGGCGATGGCCTCCACCGCCTCGGCTCTGCATACCTCGATCACGCGGTCCAGGTCTTCGAGATGCAGCGGCACGCGGACCCGGCCCTTGGCGTCGACCCGCTCGCGCACCTCGAAGCGCAGCCGGCGCGGCACGAAGGGGACTTCCTTGCGGTAGCGCAGATTGTAGAGATCGGGGCGATTGCCGCGCGCGATCTCCAGCACATCCCGAAAGCCCTCGGTGGTGACCAACGCGGTCTTCGCGCCTGTCCGCTCGGTGATCGCGTTGATCACCGTCGTCCCGCCGTGGACGAAATAGTCCACGGCGTCCGCATCGAGCCCGGCCTGGTCGATGGTATCCAGCACGCCCGCGTGAGATCGTCCGGCGTTGTCAGGATGAAGACGGGGAGAAGCAGGTTGAGCAGTAACGGAAAGGGTCATGAAGAATGAGAAGGGAAAAGGGAGGGATAAGATACACAAGTAATCAGACAAATGATAACAAATAATATAAAAAACAAAACTGCAAAAAGAGGGGGTGGCGCGGGGGGTGGGGGGGAGGGGGGCTCCCGGCGGGGGGGGGTCGGGGGTGGGGGGGGGGGGCGGGTGGGGGGGGGGGGGGGGGGGGCCCGGTGGGTCGGGGGGGGGGGGGCAGGGGGCGGGGGGGGGGGGGGGGGGTTGGGGCGAAGCAGGGGGTGGGGGGGGGGGAGGGGGGGGGGGGGGTGTGTGGACGGGGGGGGGGGGGGGGGGGGGGTGCGGGGTAGGGGGGGGAGGGGGGGGGGGGGGGGTGTAGCGTGTGGGGTGCGTGGGGGGGGGGGGGCGGGGGGCGGGGTGGGGGGGGGGACAAGACCACCTAACAAACAAACAAAAAACACAACAACATCACTGACAAAACAAAAAAAAAAAAAAAACAACAAACAAAAAACTACACCTCACAATAAACACAATACAAATAAGAAACAACGTAATAAAAAAAAAAAAAAAAGAAGAAAGAAAAAAAAAAGAACCAAAATACAAGAAAACAAAAAAAAAACCCCCCCCCCCCCCCCCCACCCCCCCAACCCCCACACCCCCACACCCCCCCCCCCCCCCCACCCCCCCCCCCCCCCCCCCCCGCGATTTATCGCGCCAGTCGGCCCACCGCATGCTCCTGCCGGTTGGATCGTCGCCGATTATTCACCGCCGCGGGCGGGGGTCAAACCGGGTGGCCTGGACGCGCGAGAGGAAGGGCTTGTCACGCAAATGAACAGGCGTCAAAAAATGTTATTCGGTAATTCGGGGGAACAATCGAAGCATGAGCATGACCGACGATCGCGCCTTGGCGGCGCTGGTGGCGCTCGCCCACGGCACGCGGCTCGGCGTCCTTCGCCTGCTGCTGCGGCAGGGGACGGATGGGCTGCCCGCAGGTGAGATCGCGCGCGCAACTTCGGTGCCGCCGTCAACGCTTTCCAGTCACCTCGCGCAGCTCGAAGGGGCAGGGCTGACTTCGCTAACGTCGGCTCCGGCTCAGGAGGAGACGATTGCGGGCGGGAATGACGACAATCGCACTGCTCGGCCCCAAACGATCCCGACCGGGCGGGCGGATGCTGGCGCACGGCATGTTCGAGGAGCCGATCGTCGCTGCATCGACCAATGCGCGCACGGGCTTCTCCCAATGGCTCGGCGAGTTCACCGCGACCTTCGGCCTGGTGGCGACGATCCTCGGCTGCCTGCGCTTCAGGCCGGAGCTGGTGGCCCTATGGCGTCGGTCTCTATCACCGACAAGATACAAAACATTCCCAGGCACGTCTATCCCATGCATCCGCTCAAAATGTTCTCAGCGCCTCTCTACCCTTTCCTTTCTTTCGACCACTCGATTACCTCCTCGACCCCTCACCTTCCGATTTGCCTTCCTGGCTTATCTTAGTTACCCCAATTCTGTTCCTCCGCCCCATTTTTAGGAGACTCTCTATTGACTCGCCCCCCTTCACCTCCTCTTTTCCAGCCCAATTTCCCTCCTTTCCACCCCGTTCATACATCACCCACCCCCTCCGCTACTTTCTCAGCGGCGCCCATTCGGCTGTAATCCTGTATTTTCTTTTTTTTTTTTTTTCGTTCACGTCGTCCACGTCGTTCGCCAACCCGGCGGTGACAATTCGCCGTCGCTCACCGACACGTTCCGGAATATGCGGTGCACATGCGGCATTCATCATCGACAGAGGAGAGGAGCACGCGGTCGTGGAGACCGCTGCTGTTCCGCTGGACGGTGAAGGCCCGACGGCAGGAGCAGATCGGCAAGAGGAGGACTCCGCGTAGAGCACTGACGCGCCGAGAGGCGCGCAACTCTTTGCAATCCTACCGCGCCATTGCGTTGCCACGGTTAGACTGTCGTGCAAAGAGCCGAAGAGAATGTGATGATCGTACCATTGTAGCACCTCGTCCGGCCTACAGTTTGTTTCAGCGATTCCTCCAAACAACCGATTAGGACCATCTCTGGTCGTTCGTCACTCGCCGAGTGGACACATGGGAGGAAAAAGGCGACGCGAAACAGGGAACATCCCTATTTCCGAACTATTTGGGAGTACTTCACGAGGCTAGGCGAGTGTTCAATTGTTTGAAAACGAGAAAATTTTCGCAAACTATGATTTTCGACCTTCTGCTCGCCTCCTCGAAAAAAACAATCTTCTAGGAGTGTATCTTTTTCAACACGCCTCTCCAGACAACTCCCCCTAATAGTGAAAGCACATCTACGACTGATTACAAGTTCATCATTCGTAATCTTGATATGCGCTTGATGATCGTGCTGGTTCCAAAAGGTATATTTCCGATTGGGGCCCAATATCTGATGCAAAAATGGCATTCGAAAACTGCCGAGAAGCCCTCAATCTCCGACTATGTGGTCTTTCAATTTGCAGCGTGGACAGGAATCATTCCGTTTGTGGCGAAACGAAGTTGATCGGTGATGCGTCACCGGGAATGAGAAGTATGGATATTTGTCTTCCAAAACGGCAGGCCGTGTTTGTTTTTCCAAAGGAATAATTTGTTGATAGTAACATCAAGTGAAACCGCGGCGATCGAGCAGGCTTCTAAGATGTGTGGACTCTCCTCCAGACGAGCCATGACACGTCCAGGATTACGGGGGGTGGTACATGCGTTTGAAGGAATTTTGGCATCGTCGTTAAAACTTTTGTGGTGGCGCGCATATAACTTTATCGGACACGAAATCGCGTACGTAAATCTGCCTCTCCATAGTTGATCTGCGGAACAATGTCGGAGCCTCGGAATGTTCGGTATATTCGGCCATCGCGAAAAAGTTGGGATCCACATTTCATCTTGTTTTCAGCATAGAGGCCTGTTCTTGCATTTGCGGAATGAAGCGGCCACAAATCAGGACCCAGAGTCAATTGAGAATTTTGGAATAAACAATCTTGATCGAATCGAGTATTTCTTGAACCAAAAAACAATTCAGTGTCAATTTGGGAAAAGACTGGCGTGGTGGTGGAATCGAGTATAGGCAAGCATAGACTTCTTTTACGGTTGGCGACGCTGCCGTTCATCAAACTTTTATCAAATCGTGGTGGAGACAAGTGGGAATGATTTGCCGTGGATATATGCCTCGAATGGGTGCAGACAATTATAGAGGGTTTTCGTTTTAGCCAGTTGGGTTGTGTTTTAACTTGCGCCCTGTAAGTAAACCCGACTACGCTGATAGTCTTCAAGGAATGTTTGGAAAAAAGTACTGTTGATGTTTCTTATCTTGGAAAGTCTGTTTGAGATTGTGGGGAATAGCTCAAGTTATTGGATTGCAATTTGGGGGTTTGCATTTGCGAAGGCAAGGAAAAAGGTAGGTGAGCCCGACTGTCTCGCTGGGTGGTTGGTGCGGCTTTCTCTTTAAAACGGCTAGAACGAAGAGGCCAGCGCCACCTCGACCGAGCCGAGCGCCCCGAACTCGGCGCGCACATGCTTCTTGTGCGCGATCGGCGCGGGCACGATGCAGGTGCCGGTGATGATGACGTCGCCGGCCGCGAGCGGCACACCGTGGCGCACCCGGTCGTTGGCGAGCCAGGTGAGCGCGATGCGAGGGTCGCCGAGCGCATTCGCGCCCTTGCCGGTGGCGGCCTCCTCGCCATCGATGGAGACGACGACCGGATGGGCGGCGAGGTCGATGTCGCGCCAGCCTGCCGGCGCCTCCGGCCCGAGCACGCAGTACTCCGTGCAGCCGTTGTCGGCGATGAGCTGGGCGGCGCCCACGACGGTGAAGTCCCGAAACCGCGAATCCGGAATCTCGATGGCCGGATGGAGCGCCGCCACTGCGTCCATCACCGCCTCCACGGAATAGTCGCCGTTGCCGCCCGGGCAGGTCCCGGCCCAAGCGGAACGCGAACTCCGCCTCGACCACCGCCATGTGGAGGTGGCCAGCCGGAAGCTTCGTGCCGCTCTGGTGGAGCTTGCTCTCCCACAGGCGCCCGGCGAGGGGCCGTCCACGCCGATATGCTTCTGGCCCGCCGCGCTCGTGGCCGCAATCTTCCAGCCCACCGGCCGCGCGCCGGCGAGGCGCGCGAGCGCCTCCTGCATCGCGTAGCCGTCTGCGGCCGTGCTGGGCGGCACGCCTCGGGCAGGCCGTCGATCAGGTGATGGCCGCTCCAGGCCTTCCAGATGGCCTGTGCTGCCGCGTCGCTCTTCGTGTCAGTCATGGGCCCAATCTAGCGAGTGGAGGCTGTGGGCGACAAGCGGCGCTCGGACGCCCAATCAGCCATCGGCGGGCTGCCAAGGGAACATGGGGTGCCGCGTCGCGGGGCAGGAGACCGACGAGCCTGGGGTCGTCGACGATCTCGACTTCGCTGTGCGTGATGGCGAAGCCGTGTCGCTGGTAGAAGGCGAGGGCGCCGGGGTGATCCAGAGTGCAGGTGTTGACGATCATGCGGCGCGGCCGGTGGCGCGAGGCGCGCGGCGATCGCATAGGCGAGCAGCCAGCCGCCGAGCCCGGTGCCGATCCGGGAGGGGATGACCCCCAGGTAACGCAGCTCGATATCCGGCGATCGTCCGCAGGTTCAGCTCGATGAGGCCGATCTCTTCGCCGTCGGCCGCCGCCACATAGACCTCCGTCTCGTCCTCCGCGAGATGGGCGGTGAGCGTGGGCTCGTCCATCGTCAACCGGCTCCACCAGAGCCAGTCATCGCCGATCGCGTGGTAGAGACGCAGGTAATCGGCGGCCGGCATGGCTTGCCGGCGGGCGATGGCGATGCCGGGCGCCGGCGGGGGAGGGAGCGCCTGCGTCGGCGGCGCCTCCATCGCGAGATGGGTCACCACCGAGCGCAGCTTGCCCGCCGGAACGGCCTTCTCCGCAGGTGCATTCACGGTCGGGCGCTCAGAGGCCGCAGGAAATGCCCTCGTCGAGCAGCATGAGCGAGCCGTGGGCGGCGCGGCCGTCCTCGGAGCAGAGGAAGAGCGCGGCAGAGGCCATGTCGTCGGCGTCCGAATAGGTCCGGGTGCTCGGCGTCACCGCGCTCATGCCCTCCAGCATCTCCTTGAACTGCGGCTCGGAGCGGATCTTCTCGTTCATCGGCGTCGCCGTGTTGCCGGGCAGGATCGCGTTCACCGCGATGTTGTGGGGGCTGAGCTCCAGCGCCAGCGAGCGGGTGAGAAGGTTGATCGCCGCCTTCGTCGCGCAATAGACGGAGAAGGTCTTGAACCCCATGTTGCCGCAGACGGACGAGAGATTGACGATCTTGCCGCCGCCCTGCTCGATCATGATGGGCGCGACCTCGTTGATGGCGAAGAAGGAGCCCTTGACGTTGATGTCCATCATCTCGTCGTACTGGGTCTCGGTCGTCTCGCCGATGAAATTGGGCTCGAAGATGCCGGCCGAGTTGACCAGGATGTCGATGCGCCCGAACGCCGCCTTCACGTCGGCAACCAGCGCCTTGACCGCGTTCACATCGCGCACGTCGCCGACAAAGGCCTGGGCCGCACCGCCCGCCGCTTCGATTTTGTCCACGACGCCCTGTGCCTTGGCCAGACTCGAGGAGCCGGCGACGGCGATCCGCGCTCCCTCGGCGGCGAATCTCAGCGCGATCGCCTCGCCGATGCCTGAGGAACCTCCGGTAACAAGCGCAGTCTTTCCCTCCAGTCTCACGATCCTCTCCTCTCCGGTCTGTCACACCACAACGTGGACGAATGCCGCGTCCAGCGCTCTTGGCGAGAATATCAGCCGCACACGCGAAAGTCTTTCGACCGGCGCCGCGGCGGCCGATAATGGCGCGGGGGCGCGGCCCCTGCCGACGGAGTGAGAGGAGGAGCCATGCAGGGCCTGATGCAGGAGATCCCGCTGATGATCTCGTCGCTGATCCGCTACGCGGCGGAGTATCACGGCGACCGCCAGGTGGTCTCGCGCACCGTCGAGGGGCCGATCCACCGCTATGGCTACGCCGAATGCGAGCGCCGGGCGCGGCGCGTCGCCAACGTCATGGCACGGCTCGGTATCGGGCACGGCGACCGGGTCGGCACGCTCGCCTGGAACGGCTACCGGCACCTGGAGCTCTTCTACGGCGTCTCGGGCATGGGCGCCGTGCTGCACACGGTGAACCCGAGGCTCTTCACGGAGCAGATCGTCTACATCATCAACCACGCCGAGGACCGCGTCCTGTTCGTGGACCTCACCTTCGTCGAGCTGGTGGAGCGGATCGCAGACCAGCTGACCACGGTCGAGCATGTGGTCGTGATGACCGACGAAGAGCACATGCCGGCGACCGCGCGGCCCAACGTCCTCTGCTACGAGACCCTGCTGGCGGGCGAGAGCGAGGACTATGCGTGGCCTCTCTTCGACGAGCGCGCCGCGTCCTCGCTCTGCTACACCTCGGGCACGACGGGCAATCCCAAGGGCGTGCTCTACAGCCACCGCTCGACCCTGCTGCACGCCATGGCCGCCTGCCAGAACAGCGCCATGGGCATCTCGGCGCACGACGTGATCATGCCGATCGCGCCGATGTATCACGGCAACGCCTGGTCGCTGCCCTATCTCGGCTGCCTCACCGGCTCAGGCATGGTGCTCCCCGGCACGAAGCTGGACGGGCAGAGCCTGCAGGAGCTGATCGAAGGCGAGGGAGTCACCTTCGCGCTCGGCGTGCCCACCGTGTTCACCATGCTGATCGACCATCTCGATGAGACCGGCAAGAAGGTGGACAGCCTGGAGCGGGTCGCCATCGGCGGCTCGGCGGTGCCGCGCTCGATGATCGAGCGGCTGGCCGATCCCTACGGGGTGACGGTGCACCAGCTCTGGGGCATGACCGAGACCTCGCCGCTCGGCACCTTGGCGACGGCGACACCCGCCATCGACGCGCTCTCCGCCGAAGAGCGTCAGGCGGTGCTCAGCCAGCAGGGGCGCGTGCAGTTCGGCCTCGAGCTCAAGATCACAGGCGAGGACGGCGGGAGTGTCCCGCGCGACGGCAAGACTTTTGGCGACATGTGGGTGCGCGGCAACTGGGCGGCCAGCGGCTACTTCAAGGGCGAGGGCGGCGACCGGCTCGACGAGGACGGCTGGTTCCCCACCGGCGACGTCGCCACCCTCGACGAGCACGGCTTCATGCGCATCACCGACCGCAACAAGGACGTGATCAAGTCGGGCGGCGAGTGGATCAGCTCGATCGATCTAGAGAACGCGGCGATGGGGCACCCGGACGTGAAGCAGGCCGCGGTCATCGGCGTCTTCCATCCCAAGTGGGAGGAGCGGCCGCTCATGGTCGTCGTGCCGCGCGACGGCCGCAGCCCGGATCGGGACACCATCAACGCCTACCTCGCCGGCAAGGTCGCGAAGTGGTGGCTGCCCGACGACGTGGTGCTGGTGGACGAGCTGCCGCTGACCGCCACCGGCAAGGTGCAGAAATCGCGCCTGCGCGAGATGTTTCGGGATCACGAACTTCCGACGCCGTGAGGGGCGACGCGCCGGCGGACCGACGGGTTTCAGGCGTTGCTTGATGATGGCTCCGCCCGATTCGCCGACATCGTCTCGATAAGGTATCTGTCGAGCTCGACGGCGAGCGGGAGATCGTCGCGCTCCAACGAGCGGCGGGAGGCAGGCGTCATCAGCGCCGTTCGGCTGGCCGCCTCCGCCACGACGGAAATCGCCGGCACATGGGGCGCGAACGCCGCCTCGGCCGCCAGCACGTCGCCGGGGCCGTATTCTGCAACCCGCGCGCCGGCCTCCTCCTCGCGCACGACGGCCCGGCCCCCGGTCATCAACAGCATGCCTTCCTGCTGTTCGCCTTGGACGACGATCGTCTCGCCGGCCCCATGGTCGCGGTGCTCGAGCCAGGGCTCGAGCTGCTCAGTCAGCGCCTCGAACCGCGCCAGCCTGTCCAGCTCGCGCATGGCGTGATCGACGGAAAGCCCGAACAGCACTTCCCGGGCCTCATCGGCATCTTCAGAGCATGTGCCGATCACGCGGCGATGCCGCTCGTGGTATAGCGCAGTGGCAGCATGGCCGAGCGGCGCGTCGGAACCGCGCAGTTCCGCACAAGGCTGCGGATCACGAACCGGCTTTCCCTCAACATCCGACGAGTCCTACCAGACGGCTAACGGAACACCTAGGAAAGCATATCGATGCATATGTTCGTAAACAAGGAAAGCGCCGGCATTCGATGTGTAAACCACTGTGTAGGCTATCGTCGAACTCGAACGGAGAATGGATCGGTCTACATTGTGAATAGCACCCGCGGTTGGCATTCGACATCGAAATTGATGCAGGGTCCGATGGGAGATCAGCACCTATATGTCCCGATCGGCGCCATAAAGTGCCCGGGCATCGTCGTCCTTCACGGCCGCGAGGGAGAGTGGCGGGCTGGTCGGAGTGGCAGGCGCTCTCATGGCGGCGGCAAGCGGTTCTGCAACGATCGCGCGGGGTACACAGTCGACCGGTGGGACGCGTGCACGCCGGACGGACATCCGCGACAGTCGAACCTCGACGCCACCGAGAGTCCATAGCTGATCTGGATGCGGGTAGAGCGGCACATCACGCAGCGCACGTCGCTTGTCCGGAACGTCGAGGCGCCGAACAGCTCCCTTCTCGTCACAGCCTCATGGTGCGCGATGAAAGCAGCGTCTCCCGGATTGCGGTCCGCGGTCACGCGCATCCGATCGATTGTCGGCGGCCGCCATGTCATCGCCACCGATTCCAGCCGAACGGCCGAACTGGCCTCCTCTCTGGCCCGCGACGCCGCCGAACGACTGCATGGCGGTGGCGCGCGATGCCATCCGACGCGCTCGTCCGCGCTGCTCCGAGATACGAGATCGACGCTAGCGAACGGGCCCCTTGTCATCTCAGCACGCGAGCAGACGCCGTCTCTGGCGTGGCGCCGCACGCAGCGCTTCGAGGCACGCTGTTTCGCGCTGCCGTCAGGATCGTGCGACGGAAGTCCACATCTGACAGGGCAGGGGTCATCACGATTGCGACGCGAGAGCGAGCGATCGCATTGACCTGCGCGTCGTACGACTTCTTCGCCGGCGCCAGATGATCGACGGCAGCTCTAGCCGCTTCTCTCACGACTGGCCGGGGCGCTCTCCTCCCCGATTCCTGGCCCGGACCATGGTGCGATGCGAGGTGCGCCCCTTCGCGTCAGGATCACTGCGATGAAGAGCGTGGTGCGAGCGGACCGCCGACGTGAGGAACGGACATCAGGGCGGGTCACGCGCGATCCCATCGCGCGCGCACGACCTATGTGACGCACAACCGCACGGGACCTACGGGAAGCGAGGACTCGGGAGACTGCGTGCGCGACTGCCTTTGCCCCATGGAAATCACCTACCAACTTATCCCAGTTAATCCCACATAACCGCGTACGGCGAATACCCGCTTCTTAAAATTTGATGCTCTGCCCGAGACGGATGGAACAGAAGAGGCAATGGACCATGATCCCCGGTGAGATATGCGGCTAACAGTAGTAGGCGGGCGCGGTTGGCGTAGACCGGCGAAATCGTCGCCATCATGGCCGACGAAGATTCCGGCATCCCGCTCGAGCGCACGTCCTTATGAGACGCTTCACATCGAGGCGACTGCGCCTTCCACCGGTCGAGGTGGAAGCTCGGGATGATGCTCTGCTCGAGCCCCTTGCGCGTGTGAGGCGGCAGCGCGGTTGAAGTTGTAAGGCCATCGGCCCGCGGCCGGCGAAGCTCGACAGCAGGCTGTAGTGGCCGCCGTGTGGCCCGGCGTCTCGATCAGTATGCCCGCCCTGGCGATCTCCTGACTCGCCGCTTGACGCGCTCGACCCGCGGAGTCCAGAGTGCTGCGCTCTCGGATCATCCGCACGCGCGCGCCCCTCTGCGCGAGCGTCTCGCGGTAGTAGAGGTCGCGTGGAAGCTCATGTCGAGGCGCCAGCATCTCGAACCGGCGACGGGCCGCCTTTGCATCGGCGATTCGAGCGCGTGGCAGGACATTTCAGGCCCCTCGCGAGATGTGCGGTTCCCGCCGCAATGTCGGAAATGGTAGTGCGAGTTGACGACGTATCGATGTCCTGCGGCCGGGTCAAGCGGCGAGCGGGAGGCGCGCCCGTAGCCGGGTATGCTTCTTCGGGATTTGCAGCGCTTTCGAAAGGGGAGCACCGAGGAAAAGGCGGAGAGGAGAAAGCTAGCCCGCTTCTTGGGCGGAGAAACGCAGTCGGAGAGAGCAACTGGAGGAAGGGTAGAGAAGTAAGAGGGTAGACGGGGAGGATGGACAAGAGAAGAAACGCGACCGGCCGGCACCCGGGGAACAGTAAAACTATGGAAGAAAGCCGTCTCTGATCACCAAGCGTGCCGCCGTTCGGAATGAAGACCTCGACGTCTCTTCATGGCCTCGCTCCCACTCTTGCTCTGGCCCAGTTCGCACGCGCCCCAGCACGTAGGGCAGGCCCGCCGACGCAGACGGAAGGCTAGAAGCCAGGGCGAATATCACAAGCACGATATGAAAATGAGGAGGGCAGCATTCTGAACCACGCGGTCGGGACCACAAGGCGAGAGACAGACAAAAAGGGCACAAGACTAGAATACCGATTCGGTTCCACACCTCCCCCCCCTGTTGCTCATGGGGGTCAAGTAGATGCATGGTGAAGTGAGGAAGAAGAGGCAAGGAGCAATCTGAGATAAAAACCAAAACGACCGAATTTCGGGGAGCGAGCCAAAAAAGAGGCACAAGCAAGTGGGAAAGAAACGAGGGCAGAGGAGGACGGAGGACGAACGGTAAGGAAGGGGAAGAAGAGCGACCTAGGAAAAGAGAATGACGAAAAGCTCCGGCGCACGCAAAAAAGCAACGACATGGAAAGACCCAGTGAGAAGAGAAACACGAAAAAGGGCGCGGAGTCGCTGGGTAACGATCCCCGAAGACCCAGGACGCGACGTATGTTTTGGTGGGGCCGCGTTCTCGTTCGGTCGGGCCTGTCGCAGGCGGCCTGGAGGTTGAGCCCCAAGTTCGGTGCTTCGGGAATAGCAGGGAG